TTTATTTCTTAGTGAAAATTTGACTAGAATGTAGTTAGTTGAATAAAAACACACTTAAAAGTAGTTTACATATAAATTAAAGAAAAAATTGAGTTTGGTCCCAAATTAAGAATTATCGTATGCTTAAGCCCATTTTTCCAACTTCTCTTTCTTCTGCACCATTTCCTTTTTTTATCCCTAAAATACTTTATCTCCTTCCTCGTCCTTCTTTCCTCCTCATATCAACTTGTTTTCTCCATTCCCTATCCTCTTTTTCTTTCTTTCATCATACTTCCTCCCTCCTCGCCTCCTCTTCACTCTATCTCCATCCTCATATCTTCATCTTCATCTCTTCTTTGTTCATCATACTTTCTCGTCTTTTATTCATATCAACTTTATTTTCTCATGTCATCTCTCCCTATCTCAACTCAATTCTCATCTCTCCTTGTATGCTTTTCTTTCTGCCTCCCCCATCCTCCTCTCTTATCCATCTCATTTTCATCTTCTTAATCCCTCTACTTTTGTATCCACCTTCATTTTCCTTCCTCCTACTTGAGTAGTGATAATATGCCCTTGAACATCCAATACAAATTATGTTATATTCCTAATATATTAATAGATTTAATTGTGGTATATATAATTTGGGTATCATTTATATAATTGTTATATATATCCTTAGAAGTTTTGTTAGATCATGCAATGTGATGATCATTTACTTGAAGATGTGATCTAACTTAGATATTTCTTAAATTTGTGTTTAATCTATAACTAGTAAATGATAATTTTGTTATAACATGTTATTATGCATAACACTAACATATGAGATATGATGGTGGGTATCAATCACCGGAATGGGGATTCCCCGAGTATATATCCCGAAAGCACACATTGTGACATATGTGGCACTAGACCACATTTTGATCTAGAATGAGTCATCTAGGAGTTAGATAGTTCAAATTGGTACATGATCCTTTTGACTTGATGATATTGTCATTTTTAATTTGATAATTTAGTATATTTTGATGTGATGGTTAAGCTTGTGTAGCAAGCGCTACACAACCTAAAGTATTATGTTAGTAGATTTTATTTAGGGAAATAATGAATATTGAGATATGATCCAGTATGCTCATTATGATGAGTTAATTTATTATGCATTCACATAAAGTTATAAAATTCCTATCAGTGAGTGGTTTTTAAAAATATTTTTAAAAAATATTTTCTTATAAAAATAAAATAATATGATGTTTCAAAATGATTTTTATTTACGTTTATGAGAATTGCAATTTAGGCTTGATCAAATAGTCCTGCTCAAATGAGTTGTCCAAAATAAATAATATTGGAGGGAACAGAATATAAAATATTATTTAGAAATAATTAATCTCATATTATAGAAGAGCTTTTATGTACAATCATCGGATAGGTATTTGACTATTAAGTTAAAATTATTAATTTGATTAATAATTAGTTTTCAATATGGGACCCATTTGATCTTACTAATATTCTTAGAAGAGGTGTACATGCAATACAAATTCTATTATATCCTTAATTTTAAGGGATAGAGTTTTTGAACAACTCTATTCTATCTTTAATTATTATGGATAGAGTTTTGAATAATTATGAATTATTTAAAATTAAAATCTATAAAGCTAGTCTAATCCCATATACAATGTTCACATGTACCCTTATGTAGACACATAAAAAACTTATGAATGTAAGATGAAGAATAGAACAGAAAAATAGAAAATTGAGAACCTATCTCTTAGTATTGCTCCTCTTCGGTAACGGGTGAATTTTAATTGGAGCCTTTTTCTCTTGAGAAAGATTTGAAATTTTCAAATAGATATTGATAGATGGATTTTTAGGTAAATCTTAGTAAATGGATTATGAAGAATCGAAAAACATTATAAGTATTCTTTTAATTTTAATTAATTATGATTAATTGTCACGATATGCATATTCCGTCTTGTTGTATGTCGTTTCTAGCACCTCCTTCGTCTAAACCTTTCTCTCCTCTCTTACATTTTCATATATCCTGCAACAATTGTAACATCACTCAAATGGCATTATTTTTGCTTAAATAGATCATTTCCTAAAGTCAAGTCGAAATCAATACTCAACAGTTAAGCTTAACATCTAACAGTTAAACTAAAAAATTAACAGTTAAATTTAACATTGAGACTTTAAAGATAATTGGTTAACTTTACAGTTAACCTATTAGGTCTAAAAGGACTAATATTAAGCTTTTCCATCATCATGATATCTCCTTCATCATTTTCTTCTTTCATTAACCATCTTTATTCTTTATTCTTCCACAACCATCGCCATATCCCTCAAAAGCCATCTCCTTTGGTTAAGATAGTCATTTTTAGTGTTACTTTAACATTTTAATTAAGCGTTAACTTAAAACTTAGAGTGTTAACTTTAAATTTATCGGACAATTACTAGTTGCATACTCTTACTAGTTAATTCTAGTAACTGTATATTTCCTTCATGATTCCATGAAAGTTTATGTTTTAGATAACATAAATATTTTTCTATATCCTCCTTCGTATATATGCATATTATTCATTCCAACACTTAGTCTCCCATTGAAGAAGGATATAATGAGTATTATGTTCGTCATCAGAACTTGTTAATGTACTAGTGATAACACAGTCAATACGTATCCAGGACAGGATAATTGCGATGAGGTAGGGGATATTGATGAGGGGATCTCCTTCTTCTTCTGACTTTATGTATGGTTATTGAATTAGGATTGCTGAACAATCTGTATGTATAGAAACTCATGAGAGAACGGGGATTGGTTCCCTCATTGTACCTTCGACGATCAAGTTAGATGATGAACTTGAGTGGAAGAGGAACAACATAACTTAGAGTTCTCCTTCTGTTTTTCTATTTTGGAATTTCCCCCACTAAAGGCGAATAGTACCTATATTTATATTGTGGGAGAATGACAGATCGGACACTTTGGCCGAGTACGAAATAGTGATGGTGATGTATGGGTTGATGGTTGTGTCAACATCCTTTTTACGGGTGTCAGCAAGAGGTAAGGGGAAAGATCACTTCAGCATGGGTGAGATCGTCTCAACATTGAATGGAGAGTGATGGGCGGCATGACAGAGCCCATGTGATATGACAAGTCATGGAGACTATCGAGGCTAGGGTCATGATGAGACCTGTCCAGTGTTGATCACGATGTTGACACGTGATCAGGGAGAAAAGCCCGAGGAATATATTATCCTCCAGTTTGGCCGAGAAGTAACGCTCATCGAGTCGTCCTTGTAGGGCTTTGAATAGAAGGTCGAATGGGCTCCAGACGAGTCGACTTCGACAAGAGGGTTGACGGGTCCTACCTCTCGAGTCGTCACGAAGAATGTCTTGACGAGTTGACCAAGTTGGGACCTCCGCTGAGCTTGGGCCACCAAGCTGGTTGGGGCATTGCTTGCGGAAATACACATGTCCGTTGTTTGGTGAGTTGTATTTTGGCGAATGGGAATACCATAACAGAACTGAAATATTGACATTCATCATATACAAATTATCTACATTATTCATAAATTAAACTTTATATATCTTATCAAAAATTTATAGTTAAACCGTAGTTGAAAGACCTTCTATATTAAATTTAATCTATCAAATTTTAACCAACCCGTATTGTTTATCAAAATTAAAATAAAATTATTCTAAATACGGGGTTATTTTCATACTGCGATTGTAACTAAAAAATTTATACAAAAATAAAAAAATTTACTTGGATGAAGAGTTGAGGTTCGTGGGCGTCGAAGAGATTAGATGGCGTTAGAGTTCAATGACACGGGATTGAATCAAGGGGGAAATTTCGGGGAAGAGCCTCGGTTTGGGTTAGGAGAGAAGATGCGGGTGTTGCGGGGGAGGGGGGAGGGAATTGAGAGAGAAGAAGGTGATGTGGGAGAAGATGAATGGGGTGGGGGTGAGAGATTGGTTTGAGTTTGAAGGATATGAGGAAGAGAATGAGAGTAGAGAGATTTTGGGTTTGGAGGATTTGAGAGAGAGAACAAAAGTAGAAAGAGTTCGGGCTTCAAGGATTTGAGGGAGGGAACGAGAGTTTGGGTTTGGAGGAGTGCGGCTGTACCCTAGGTTTTAGGCATGGTTGGGGATTTATAGCCCGACAAATACACGAGACTATTACTCCCATGTATTTGTTGGGCTGTAGCGAACTGTCTGCTTATCACACGAGACTAGTAGTCCCGTGTGTTTTTGTGCAGCAGTGGTGAACTATCTTTTTAACGCACGGGACTACTAGTCCCATGGTTTTTTAGTGTGGTGTTTAGGCGCTAAGTGGTAAACAGACGGGTTTAGTACTCCCGTGTGTTTTCGAGACCGTATTTTACAAAATCGGTCTCTTTTTGGGTAGTCTTGGTGAGTTGGTTAAAAAAAAGTTGATTTTGTAAAATATTTAGCAAAACGGTTGTTTTTGCTAAATATATTTTTAAAATAAATCTATTTTAAAAAAATCTCCAGGAAAATTACATGATAAAAGGTTGAAAAAAGTGCAGCACATTAGAGTTCGTTTAAAGAGGCTTAGACACAATTTTTCGTAAATTAGAAATAAAAATTAGCTTGTGTATCATGACCCTACTTTTAAATTGGCTTCATCGTAAAAATCTAATTAAAATTTTGAAAAACCCGATCATCAACCCTAGAAAAGATCTTACGCACATGCACACATCATCATCAAACATAACAAAATGTCCACACTACCCTCACTGTTATGTTAAAGCAACGTGTATATATATTGATATATCCTCCCATTTAAGTACCTACCAAAAAGAGATACTTACTAGAGGAAGAGGGCAAGAGAGCGAAGCCAAAACCCTCAATCCCTCTTATCTTTTCTCTATCAATGGCTAGCGGTCATATAACCGGCGATGGGTCCCACGAATAACGCCGAGGACGCGGCGCTCGGAGAGGCATGCTCACCCGACACGGCTTCGTGCCGTGACGAGCAGACGGCTCGTCTGGGCGATAAGGCGTACGAGATGAAGGGCTGGGTTGAGTATCTCCGCGCTCCGGCCGTTATTGTTTACATGATTAACTATGTGATGTCGATGTCGACCCAAATATTTTCCGGCCATCTTGGTAATTTAGAGCTTGCCGCTGCTTCTCTTGGGAATACTGGGATCCAAATCTTTGCTTATGGCCTCATGGTAAATTTCCCTATTTTTCCCCCATAAAAAATAAAAATAAAATAAAACCGCTAATTTTTTTTACTCAGTTCCATCTAGACTCTGCTACGTCATTTTAGATATAATAATATTGTTTCACAAGCTTCCGAAGAGATTAGGAGTAGTGCTTATATTAGTCAGGAGCTTGATCTGGTTTGGTATTGATCATAAGGATTCTCTAATTTTGATTTAAATCTATTTTCAATGGACAAGCTACGGATTTAGTTCTGGAAAACTAGCCACCATGTATATTAAATAATTGATGTGTTGCTCTTGAAAATTCAGTGCACCAGTTTCCATCTCCTCTATATATTCTGAGAAAAGAAAAAAAAAAAAGAAAAAGAAAAAGAAAAAAGAAAAGAAAACCATCTCCTCATTTTAGTAGTAAACCTACTAAATAATTTAGGTAAGGTTTGTTTTGAGTAGAAAATGGCCAATATCTATTGTCAATTTCGTGATGTCTTAAAAAAAGTACAGATTTATTTTTGGCCCAACAAATAGGCAAAGCAGGATGTCTATCCAAATAAAAAAAAAGGCAGCAAAATGAATCCAAATTGCTCCTTACAATATCCGCAATTTATTTTTCGGTGCACAACAGTTGGGAATGGGCAGCGCTGTAGAGACTTTATGCGGGCAAGCCTACGGGGCTCACAAATACGATATGCTCGGCGTCTATCTTCAACGGTCAACGATCCTTCTCATGGCCACGGGGGTCCCACTCGCGATCATCTATGCCTTCTCTCGCCCTCTCCTCGTTCTCATCGGCGAGTCGCAAGACATCGCCAAGGCCGCGTCGATATTCGTATACGGCCTCATCCCCCAAATCTTCGCATACGCTGCCAACTTCCCGATACAAAAATTTCTACAGGTGACTAAATTCCTTCCAAAAAAAAAAAAAGAAAAGAAAAAGGTTATTTTAGCGTGAAACTTTGCACTGCTCTATTTAAAATTTGTGTTCTCTGCAGGCACAAAGTATCGTTGCACCCAGTGCTTACATCTCAACTGCTACCCTTGTGGTCCACCTCGTGATGAGCTGGCTTGCTGTGTACAAACTGGGTTTAGGACTCCTGGGTGCGTCTCTGATTCTGAGTTTGTCTTGGTGGATCATTGTGGTGGCCCAGTTCGTGTACATTGTCACGAGCGAACGCTGCCGGCACACTTGGGCCGGGTTCAGTTTGCGGGCGTTCAGTGGGCTGCCGGAGTTTCTAAAGCTGTCGACTGCTTCGGCTGTGATGTTGTGCCTAGAGACGTGGTATTTTCAGGTGTTGGTTTTGATCGCTGGGTTGCTGAAGAACCCTGAGCTTGCTCTTGATTCTCTCTCTATTTGGTAATGAACCATTTGCATTGTCCAGTTCGATTCGGTTTATGTTCAAATGAAATCCATCGATATAGTTATATTATTAATTTTTTCATCCAAGGGTCAAAACTGTCTGCTCGTGGATGATTTTAATAAAATTCATTAATTCAATTCAGAGAATTGTAAGCCACTAATAATATCATCTGGAATCCTAACATTGACGCGTGTACAGAAGTGACTGAGATTATAATGTCCAAATGAAATGAATCGAAACACCTAGAACTTATTGTAGGATATTATTTAACTCATTAATATTGATGACTAGCTAGTGACCTTGACCAAACCAAACAGAGACCCATGATTATAGTTGGGTATGACTTGTCACTGATCTTGCACAGGTACATTTCATCAAGCAATATGATCTGGTCCTACCCAACTTTTATTGCCTTCACATGATCATGGAAAATGCTACGAGCAGCAATAATGTTTTTTCATACTATTTTTTTATTTTGAGATTTGAGCTAACTAATTAATGTTTGTGATTGCAGTTTGACAATCTCTGGTTGGGTGTTCATGATCGCTGTCGGATTTAATGCCGCTGCCAGGTCAGTCCTTGTTGCCTACTATGTAATGAATAATAAATAAATAATCAATTAATAACACAAGGGGCCGGGGGCAGAAAATCCAACCCCTGGCTGCGTGCTCACCATCCATGTGGACTACATGTGATGCGTATATATCACGTAGTCCACGGAATTAATCCCGTCATATGGGTTACTTGATATAAATCTACAATTAATCTGATTAAAAACATAGTTGTTCTACATTTCTGCAGCCGAATAATAAATCGAAAGCATCCAAACTCATGCTTTCATTACTGGTATGCGAGAATCAAAATCCTAAGATGCATATATGTTTTTCAAAATGATTACAGCGTTCGAGTGAGTAACGAGTTAGGAGCGGGCAATCCAAAGTCAGCTGCATTCTCCGTGGTCATCGTGACGACGTTGTCTTTTATATTATCGGTGATAATAGCAATAGTCATCCTTTGCTTTCGAGACAAAATCAGCTATATCTTCACTGAGGGAGAGATAGTGGCGCAGGCGGTCTCCGATCTCTGCCCGTTGCTCGCCGTCACCCTCATTCTCAACGGCATCCAGCCCGTTTTGTCTGGTGAGTCATCCGTAATTCTGAAAACAAAACTAGTGTTTTTATATCAGATCATAATGAACGGTAAGGATCATTAACAATTTATCGGGTGAGGCATGTGGTTATGAATATAGCATTATTATTATTATTATATTTAAATCATAATGAACGACATGGACTATTAACAATTTGTTAATCTAGTGAGATCTCAGTAATCCTGAAGGTAGTGTTTTTATACAGGACTATGATGAAAGATAAGGATCATTAATTATTAATGTGTCTGAATTTATCTGGTCAGGCATCCGTAATTCTAAAAAAGATGGGTGTTTTTTTTTATTTCAGATCATGCATCATCAATGATAATGAGCTATTAATACTTTGTATACGTCATGTCCAGTACTAAAAACTTCGTAACTATTTTATGGAGTACATCTAAGAAACGTATGCGTGCCCGGCCTCCATAATCAAATAGCCTCTGCCATGACTTCTTCTAGATTTTCTATTAAAACAAAAAAAAAAAACACTACGGTCACACTCCCCACCACACCATGAGACACAACCCCCTCACAGCTACAGTGCACGGGTCCCATGGTGTGGGTGGGCAGTGTGACCGTAGTGTCACTCTAAAACAAAAAAAAAGTTCAAACCACACCATAAAATCAAAGTTGTCTTCATGTGATCAATAATTGAGAGACCCAATTAAGTCACTCCCACCAGAAAAAAATATTTATATATATAAGTTACTGTTTTTTTCACTGTCATAAAAAGGCTATGGCTAGGGCAAAAGTGACGTGTTCAATGACAGAACACTTCCACACGTACCTAAAAATATTAGGCAACAGGTTAATGGAACCAACTTGTACTCTGTTACCTTGTTAACAACTACACGGCCAAATTAATTTATTTTCTTTTTTCTCATGTGGAGGTGTTGCTGTTGGCTGTGGATGGCAAGCCTTTGTGGCCTATGTCAACGTTGGGTGCTACTATATCGTGGGCGTCCCGTTAGGCGTTCTCCTTGGTTTTGTTTTTGATTTGGGAGCAAAGGTAAGAATTTCATAAAATTTATCAGTGAAACTTTGCAAATATTTATTTATTGCACCCAAAAAAAAAAAAAAGGTATGGATTGATTAAACATCTTTGATGATTTTATCAATAGGGAATATGGACTGGGATGATTGGAGGAACCTTTATGCAGACGGTCATCCTTTTGTGGGTCACTTTCAGAACTGATTGGAATAAAGAGGTATCTTTTCTTTCACTTCTGTAGTTCTGTAGTCTTTTCTTTGCTTGCCGCAGTTCTGAAAGTTTGCGTGTACGATTTGGGTAACTTTCGCTAAACCCCAGTAACTTTGGGCGTTCGGCACGTGAACTCAAAAAAATTTTGAACTCTCCCCAGTTCCCATTAACTTAATTTGCAAATTCCAGAAAACTCCTCTAAGCGTTTTTTTCCCCCGGTTAATTCCCAATGACTATTTTTTTTATGATGTTTATTTGATTTTGTCTGCTTTGGACTGAAAATATGGGGTGAATGATGTTATTGGGTTTAAGTGAAAAGGAGGGGGAGGTGTTTTGGAAGTTCACTAGAGTCCCAAAGTTATTAGTGTTTAGTTATAGAGTTTTTTTTCCAGAGGTTCAATTACCAAATATATGCCTAACTTCTAATCCACCATCACATTTGTTAAGTCTTATTCTTAATCTGCCATCGCATTTGTTCTCTTGTGTCTTTTGGCAATGCACAGTTTTTTTATCAATTTAAACGATTTCTCCTCCATATCACTATCAAAATTGACAAAAAGTATGGACTTTCATCTTGTTCTTATATCACACCCTGATCCTTTGGGTACGTCACGTAACACAGTCGTCAATGTGGCAATTTGAAAGTTACATCTCAAGTTTTCTCATAACCTAATCACCTACTACTTGTAAAATATATATATGACTATTAAAAGACTACATGTTTGAAAAGTCCAACATTTTCCATTAGCACCTAGCTTTTTACTAGGAGAAGCAAATTTCGCCACTCTAAGCTTTACTTTACATTTTCTTAATCATGTATAAAGACTTAATGATGATTGCGATAATTACAGGTGGCGGCAGCACAACAACGATTAGACAAATGGGATGATAAGAAGAAGCCGCTTCTCGCAAACCAGAAGTAATAGTATAAGGTTTCAAGTAGTTTTTGAAGCCAATGGATTGGGATCTCTCATCTTGGAAAAGAGGAGAGGATCAAAATTTTTAGTCACCTATGATTTGTGAGTTTGAAGGCGTAGTCCTGACAATAAGATGCATCATGAATCTTGAATCTTGTGTTCAATTCCATTTTTAGTTTATTTTTGAGGGAGTCCGTTTTTGTTCATGATTTATTTCAAAGGAAAAAGAACTCTGTGCATTCTCTCTCTCTCTCTTTTTTTTTTATAAACTAAGTTTTATGCGCATGAGGTTTAGTATCATGATTTTTTAAATTTGAATTGTTTTCTTACCAAATTTATTTTCTCGATGTCATGATTATTTAAATTTGAATTGATTTCTTACTAAATTTTATTTATTAAATTTATATTTTAGTTCAATGCAAAACTTGGCTTGAAGCCATTTTGAGTAAGATCCTATTATGTTAAAAACTATTGTATAGTGATTACGTAGTCTAAAAATCAAGGAATAAATTTCTACAAGGGAAAGTCAAATTAATAAGTCAAGTTAGCGATTAATTTAAAAATATATATGGGTAGTGCAAATAGCTAGAGTAAGTAGGATATATCTTTATTGAAACTTAATAGTGAGTGAGTAACTGCAATCATAATTGAAGCATATAAATTATTGATATTAGTTACTAACTTGATACTCGTAACGATGGAATAAATCTCAACTATGAATTTAGAATTTAGATGGTATTATTCTGTAGGTAAACTAATAAATGTTATTTGAACACCTGAACCTTTACGAAAAAATTATAAATAGGCCCTTGAAAATGTGTGGAATTTGCGAAAAATTATAAATAGCCCTTGAAAATGTGTAGAATTTGCAAAAAAAAAAAACCTGAAAGTTTAGTAAATTGTAAAAAAATTCAAAAATTTTGAAGTTCGATCAAATTTTACTATTTGAATACTATTAACTTAGTACAACATAATGCCATTAGTCCATAAAAAATTATGTTACCGCTAGGTAGTAGGTTAGTAAATCAAATGAAAAACAAACTATAACTCTTTGTTAAAACAAACAAAGCAACAAAGCCCGTCATTTAAATTAAGTGAAGGAAAAAAGCTTAACAGTCTTTGTCCGTTAATCACTTAGTGATCCAAGGGAAAAGAATCTTGAAGCAAAAAAGCTAATTTATGTTCAATAGAAGTAGATTAATCATTTATTTGAAATTCCAAAATAAAAATGGATCATCTGAATATATTTCCAAGCTAAAAAGACATGCATTTGGATCTTTTATTAATGAGGAAGGAAAGGGACTAAGTGATGACTGATATCCATGCAAATTGCTGACATAATTTATGAAAACTTCGTGCCCATTCTTACAGAGAGAAGCTAACTTTCTATTATTTATAAGTAATAATTTTTTTTTATTGGCATTAGGTGATAGTTTCTGTTAGGAATGTAAGCTGTTTAGACAATAACGAAAATCAGTTTAAGCAATTTAATAATTAACATATAATCACTATTATAACACAGATATAAGAAATATATCAAATGAAAAATAAATAGAGTTAGAAATACGGCCTGATGGTCGAGGCGTGCAAGCACTGTCCCAAAAATCTAATTGCCCCCTCTCGTATAGGGCTACGTGGCAAAACTTCCCGGAGATACAACGACCCTCGGTCAAGCGACCTCCTTCTCGTCGGCACGAGCTTCAAGAAGGCTTTGCGAACTCTTCTAGACTTTCAGGGAACCAGCAGAATATAATAGCAAATATTTTGAAGAGAAGAAGAGAAGAGAAGCTCGTTTGTAATTCTGTGTCTTTAGCCCTCGGCAGGTGTTGGTTTTTATAGGGGAAAAAACAGCCGTTACAAATCCCGCCGATTTAATTCTCATAAAAACTCGATTCGGTTTTAATTACCGATTTAATAAAAATCCGTTTTCATTTTAATTACCGATTTAATTCTCATAAAAATTCTGTTTCCGTTTTGATTCTGGTTTAAATATTACCGTTTCAAATCAATTTTCCATTTTGAAAATAAGATCCACATTGAACACGTTTTAATTGTTTTAATTTGCAAAAAATAAAAAATAAAAATGTAGCGGATCAAGAGCCCCTCACTCCGGAGCTACATTCGGGTCCGCAGGTCGTGGGTGCGCGCCACCCGACCCGACCCCGAGCCCGGCCCAGCCGGCGCGCGCGTGTGTGGTGTGGAGCATAACCTTTTATTTTCTTCTAGGCATAGGAGAGAAAGGGAAGGCTTATAAAGACCCTTCCTTCCTATTCCATTTCTTATGTGGGACTAAACTTTTCCTCTTTTCCTCTACAAACCCAAGTTTTAAGTTACAACTCCAACAGTTTCCTCCACACAAATTTGGACTTCAAAGTAATGTGTTTAAGACCTAGAGCATTTGAAAATATCATTCCTTGAGCTATTAGGAGATGGGGTCGTAACAGTAGTATTTACAAAATCAATGGAGCAGCCCTTGTAGCAAGTGTATGTTTTGTGTGTGTTGGGGATGCACAACCCCCCTGATGCGATTTGGAAATAGAGATTTAGGAGAGAAGAGAGAAAATCAAACAATCTCAAACACACAAGATTTACGTGGTTCGCTTCTCAATGTGAGAACCTCCGTCCACGGCCGCCGCAGGAGAAAAATTCACTATTTTTCGTCTTTTTACATCATGCCCTAATCAACCCTTTTATAGACTTAAGGCTTTAACAAGTAAACAAGGAAACAGATCAAATCAAGTTAAAAAACGAATCTGGGCCAAAACCCGACTCCGGTCGACCGCAGCACCACGTGCGGTCGACCGCGACAAATCCTATTCCTGATCGAGCTCTCTGGACTTTGGGCGGTCGACCGCAGCGCCATGTGCGGTCGACCGCGACGAAAACAAAACTCTGGACTGCTCTCTGGACTTTGAGCGGTCGACCGCAGCGCCACATGCGGTCGACCGCGATGAGCTCCTGGCCTGTGCCCAGCTGTGTGCACGGCCATGGCCGGTCGACCGCAAAGCTGTAAAATCTCTTCTTCGTCGTTTTGCTTGAACTTCGTCGTCGTCGATCATGTTCCTCTTGTTCCAACTTTGTTTCCCCTCTCTTCTGAAGCATAGGGCATGTCTGATAGTTAGGCTTCACATATCCTAACAATCTCCCACTTGGAGACTAACTATCAATCTCTTTCAGCTCTCTCTGCGGCGACGGCCTCCATATCATCAAGTGCTGAGGCCAACTGAAGTTGAGCACAACTTCAGTTTCTCTGTAGTGACAACCTTGGTAAGCATATCAGCTGGGTTCTTGCTTCCTTGAATCTTCACAAGTTCCAACATGTCCTCGTCCAACGCTGATCTTATGAAATGGTAGCGGACCTGTATGTGTTTGGTCCTTGCATGAAAAGCGGGATTCTTTGCCAAATGAATTGCGCTCTGACTATCACAATGTAGAACACTCTTCTCATTTTTCTGTCCCAGCTCCTCCAAGAAACCCTGCAACCATATCATCTTCTTGCTTGCCTCTGTCACCGCAACATATTCAGCCTCTGTCGTTGATAAAGCAACGATCTTCTGCAACTGAGAAATCCAACTAATAGCTATAGAGCCCAAAGTGAATATGTATCTTGTAGTGCTTCTTCTCTGGTCTATCTCACCAGCATAGTCTGCATCAACAAAACCCTGCAGAACTAACTTGCCTTTTCTGAAGCATAAATAGTCATCTATCGTACCCCGCAGGTATCTAAGAATCCACTTCACTGCTTCCTAGTGCTGCTCTCCTGGATCTGACATAAATCTGCCCACAGCTCCCACTGCATGGGCAATGTCGGGTCTCGTGCATACCATGGCATACATAAGGCTTCCAATGGCTGAAGCATATGGAACCTTAGCCATGTATTCCTTCTCTTCATCAGTCTCGGGGCACTGCTCCTTAGTCAATCTGAAATGACTAGCTAACGGTGTGCTAACGGCCTTAGCACCACTCATCCCGAATCTCTCAAGCACCCGTCGAATATACTCGGCATGAGATAGCCGCAGTGTGCCCAAGAGTTTATCTCTACTGATCTTCATTCCCAATATCTGCTTCGCTGCGCCTAGATCCTTCATGTCGAACTCACTCGACAGCTGCTTCTTCAGTTTCTTGATCTCTGTCATATCTGAACCGGCTACTAGCATGTCGTCGACATATAGGAGTAGGATGATGTAACTCTTGTCAAACTCTTTGACAAAACAGCAATGGTCAGCATTGCATCTGGAATAACTGTTCCTGTGCATGAATCCATCAAACTTTTTGTACCATTGCCTTGGAGCTTGTTTCAGGCCGTACAAACTCTTCTTCAATCTGCATATCATCCTCTCTTTTCCCTTCTGAGTAAACCCCTCTGGCTGCTGCATATATATCTCTTCCTCTAGGTCACCGTGGAGGAAAGCTGTCTTCACATCTAGCTGCTCGAGATGTAGATCTTCAGCTGCAACAATACTCAGGACTGTTCTGATGGTAGACAGTTTGACTACTGGAGAGAAGATCTCTGTGTAATCAACTCCTTCCCTCTGCTGAAATCCTTTAACCACCAACCTGGCCTTGTATCTCTTGGAACCATCATGTTCCTCTTTGATTCTGTACACCCATTTATTGCTCAAGGCCTTTTTCCCCGTTGGTAGCTTCGCAAGTTCCCATGTCTTGTTGGTGTTCAAGGATTTTATTTCATCTTTCATGGCGAGCTCCCACTTGCTCGCATCATCCACTCGAAGGGCCTCATCATAACTTTCTGGCTCTCCACCATCACTCAACAATAGGTAGTTGAGATGAGCTCTGAGCTGTAGTGATGGGTACTTCGGATTAGGCTTGGGGACTCTAGCTGATCGCCTCAACTCTCTGACGGGCGAAACATGCTCTCCATCTTCATCTGCCCCCTCCGAAGTGGTCTCATCCATCATCTCTTCTTCTTCATCAGAACTAGCTTCGGGATTGCCTCCACCTGAGGCATCATCTGACTCGAAATATGTAGGATCACTCTGCATCGAGCTAGTGGGCTGAACTGCATCACGGTCTTTGTAGAGGACTGATTCGTTAAAGACCACATCCCTGCTTCTGATGATTTTCTTGTTCTGCTCATCCCAGAACTTGTAGCCAAACTCATCGCCGCCATAGCCAACAAAGAAACATTTTAAGGACTTAGGATCGAGTTTGCTTCTAACATGATCACTCAGATGTACATATGAAACACATCCAAATACTCTCAGGTGAGAGAGATTTACATGCTTTC